GCCCGCCGTCGGGCTCCGGAACGCGGCGCCACGCGCTCCCGGACCGATCCCAGGCCCCGACCCCTGGCCCCCGGCCTCTGACCCCAAGTCCGGCCTCGGGGCTCCGCGCGCAGTCCGACCCCGGGCCCTGTCTCACCATTGAAGTCGCCCGTGTCTGCCACCACGGTGGTGTACTGCTTGAGCTGGTCTAGCACGGACTCCATCCTCTGACGCTTCAGCTGAGAACTGGACATGGCGAAGCCGAGCGGTGGCGGGAGCAAACTCGAGCCCTTCCACTCCCACAATGCCCCGCGCGGCCTCCTCTTGGAGCCCGCCCCCGCGGTACCAGCCAATCGGAGAGCGGCGGGGAGGGGCGAGGCCGCAGGACGCCGCAGCTTCCTGAGGTCGAAGCCCCGCCCCCAACCCGTACCAGGCCGAGCAGCCCCGCCTCGCCAGGGCTCAGCAGGCCTTAAAGCCCCGCCCTAGGGGCGCAACCCCGCCCCTGCACCCCTTATCAGGCCACGCAGTCCCGCCCCCATCCCTCACCAGTCTGAGAAGGCTCCTCCCCTGGTCCCTCACAAGCCTGCACAGCCCCGCCCCTGCACGCCTCATCAGGCCGTGCAGCTCCATCCCCCAGCCTTCACTGAGCTGAGAAGCCCCGCCCCCCGGGCCTCACTAGGCCACCCAGCCCTCACCCTGCACGGTCAAGGATCAACTTGGCCACGGTGGGGACCTCCCAGGTGGCTGTTTTCTCCTCTCCAGACAACTGTGACTTCAGAGAAGGCCAAGTGCCACCTGGGGCCCGCCAGCCTGGCACCAGTGACCAACACTGTCTCCAGCACACGGCACATACCAGATCACCTGGGGGCAGCTGGTTCCCTAAGTGCATTTAACAAAATTACTATTTTCAAAGCATGCTTTGATGGCAGGGCTGCCCATCTGGAAGACTGATTGGTGGGTGCTGGGAGCAGGGCGGGGTATGTGTGAGGGGGCAGAACAGAGTGTTTTGGGGGTGCAAGGAGCAAACCAGGTGAAATGGGTGTGGGTGGTGTCAGAGGGCAGGGTGGGGTGAGTGTGATTCCAGGCAGCCCCAGAAGTGTCCGTGGTGATTGCTGGTCCCCACTGGGTGGTCTCGAGGACAAGTACCAGGAACCCTGTGGGTCCCCGATGGTGAGGACTCAGCCCGGCCCACGGTCTGTTCACAGCAGTGTCCACGGAGGCCCTGGTCCCCCACACTAGCCACCGATGGTGCCACCACAGAGGAGCTGGTGACGGGGTCCTGGGGCCGGGAGGACCAGTCCCCACCTTCCCATGAGCTTGTCGTGACTTCCAAGGAGCAGGCTAAACATGCCAGTCTGGTGTTTTGTCAACAGGTGCACACCTGTCCTGGCATTCATTCACCACCTGCTTGGGCCAGCCTGCTGTGCACAGGTACCCCTCAACCTTTGCCACAGTCAAGACGACCGTGGCTTGGGTTAATGTGAGGGCTACTGACTGAGGGTCAGCCGACAGGGTTTGGGAGCGACCCTTTCGCAAATGGGACTAGGGTGAGGGGTGGGGGGTACGCTGTTCTGTGTGGACAGCGTAGGGCTAGGCCCGTCTCTGTCTCGACTCCACAGCATTGTTCCCAGGAGAGTGACCAGAGCTTCTGGGATATCCTGTGACCCCTCACTTGGCAAATGCAGACCCCCCAAAACAAATGCAGTTAGAGCTACATGAGAAGTAAAGATACACTGTCCACGAGAGTACAAGCTTTTAAGCTGAGCTCGTTGATATACTCGTTAACATGAATTAAGCTAGCACCTGGGCTTAGCGGCCTCTGATCAGCAGAAAAGCAGGCCCAGGTGGTGGTCGTGGTGGGGCTCCTTTGCTGCCAGACCGGACACTCTCTCAGAGGCACCGGCCCCACCAAGCAGCCCAGGGCCCTGAGAAAGCGCACAGACAAGGGCTCTGCCAGGACAGAAACATCAGGCAGGAAAGTGTGTGTCCGCTTCCCTGCCCCTGGCAAGAAGGTGTGTGCCCTGGGCACCGCGGTAGCTTTTGTCTGGGGGACTTGGTGCGTGCTGTCAAGACCGCCCTGATGGCCATGGGTGATTAGCAAGGCTGGCTGCTCCGAGCCCATTGGCTGCCTCCGCCTATGACAGTCACGCTGCCAAATACGCTTATTCATTGTCTTCGGCTAGATAAACAGCTCTCTTATTTGATTACCAAAGAGGAATTAGCGGTTTCCTTAAGTCACCATGAGAAAGCAGAAAAAGGAGGAAGTGGCCCACAGCACCACACCTCTCATTCCTGTGGCACAGAGCCCACAGGGCACTGCCCCCTGTGTCCCGGGAGCTCCCACACCTCCACCTGTTGCCTGCTGCGGCTGGGGCAGCTAATGTCACGGTCCCATGTCAAGGATGACAGACTTTTCTGTTTTCCAAGCTCTCTGGAAGGAGCCCTGGTGGCACAGTGGGTGGCACCTTGGTCTGTTAACCCCAAGGTCAGCAGTTGGAACCCACCAGCTGCTGCTCCGGAGAAAGATGAGGCTGTCTGCTCCTGTCAAGTTCTCTCGCTCACTGCCATCAAGCCAATGCGACTCACAGTGACTGGCCTACCCTGTCCTATAGGGTGGCTGGGAGTCCGCAGCAGCTCCACGCAGTGAGTTTGGGTTTAGTCCGCCGCACGTGGATGCCAGCCCCGGGGAAACAGGGCTCAGGGCAGTGGTCCCCTTGCGTCCATCTGGACGCAGCCACAAAGGGCCACAGCCACAGGGCGACGCGAGGCGCGACCAGTTCCCGCGCGGGGAGTGGGGTCCGGGTTTGGGTCCCGACCTAACCCGCTGTCGGCGTCTCCGAGACCCCAGGGCGCAGCTCTAACTCGCCTCTGTTGGCGGAACCCCTTCAGGGCCGTGGTTAGGGCCTGCGCTGCGGTTAAGGCGGACGGCAAACGAGCGCAGCCGTCGTGCCGGGCAGTGTCGCTGAACCGTGCCTGGCGAGACTGCACAAGTGCACACGTTTGTGTCGGGCATTTTCCTCCGACCGGGCGACACTGACCGGTGTGACCACCGCGCGGCCACGGGGGCACCGCCACCTGTTCGGTCCTCATCGCGCCGGGACCCGCAGCGCGCTCCGGAGGACCGCCCAGGCGGAGGGCGGCGGGCTGGACGCCGCGCCGCGCCCCGCCCCGGCCGCCGCCCTTCGGCCCCGCAGGCGCCCAGAGAGACGGGCTGGGTCCGGAGCGCCCCAAGCCCAGTGCCCGCCGTCGGGCTCCGGAACGCGGCGCCACGCGCTCCCGGACCGATCCCAGGCCCCGACCCCTGGCCCCCGGCCTCTGACCCCAAGTCCGGCCTCGGGGCTCCGCGCGCAGTCCGACCCCGGGCCCTGTCTCACCATTGAAGTCGCCCGTGTCTGCCACCACGGTGGTGTACTGCTTGAGCTGGTCTAGCACGGACTCCATCCTCTGACGCTTCAGCTGAGAACTGGACATGGCGAAGCCGAGCGGTGGCGGGAGCAAACTCGAGCCCTTCCACTCCCACAATGCCCCGCGCGGCCTCCTCTTGGAGCCCGCCCCCGCGGTACCAGCCAATCGGAGAGCGGCGGGGAGGGGCGAGGCCGCAGGACGCCGCAGCTTCCTGAGGTCGAAGCCCCGCCCCCAACCCGTACCAGGCCGAGCAGCCCCGCCTCGCCAGGGCTCAGCAGGCCTTAAAGCCCCGCCCTAGGGGCGCAACCCCGCCCCTGCACCCCTTATCAGGCCACGCAGTCCCGCCCCCATCCCTCACCAGTCTGAGAAGGCTCCTCCCCTGGTCCCTCACAAGCCTGCACAGCCCCGCCCCTGCACGCCTCATCAGGCCGTGCAGCTCCATCCCCCAGCCTTCACT